AACTAAAGAGAAAATAAACACATGGGACTTCATCAAAATAAAAAACTTCTGCACAGCAAAAGGAACCATCAACAAAATGAAAAGGGAGCCCACCGTGTGGGAGAATGTATTTGCTAATGCTACATCTCATAAGGACTTAATTTCTAAAATACATAAGGAACTCATACAACTTAGCAAAAGGAAGATAAACAATCCAATTTAAAACTGGGCAAAGGACCTAAATAGGCACACTGATGACCAACAGCCATATGAAAAAATGCTCAAAGTCACTAGTCATCAGAGAGATGCAAATTAAAACAGCAATGAGGTATCACCTCATTCCTGAGAGAATGGCTATCATCTATTTCTTTTTTTATAGCTAATGTTTTTCAAGGAATTTGTCCATTTCCTCTAAATTGTCAAGTTTATTGTTATAAAGCTGTTCATAATATTCCCTTATTAGCCTTTCAATGTTTGTAAAATTTGTAATGCTTTTATCTTTCAAATTTCTGATATTGTAATTTGGGTCGTCTCTCTTTACTGCTTTTAAAGAACCAGATTTTAGTTTAAGTTTTCTCTGTTTTTCTTTATTGCTTTCTATTGTATTGATTTCTGCTCTGATCTTTATTATTTTTCCCCTTATTTTAGGTTTAATTTGCTCTTCTTTCTCTAGTTTCTTAGGATAGAAGCTGAGGTAATTGATTTGAGGCCTTTTGCTTTTTTCTTATATATGGTTTAGTGCTATAAAAAATTTTTCTTGAATACTACTTTAGCAATATCCTACAAATTTTGATATAAAGTATTGTGCTTTCATGTTCATTTAGCTCAAAATACTTTTTAATTTTCCTTTTCATTTCTTCTTTGACCCATGGGTTAATTCAGAAGTGAGGTTCATAGTTTCCACATATTTGAGTATTTCCCAGAAGTCTTTCTATTATTGGTTCTAATGTAATTCCACTAAAATCAGAGCACATACTTTTATGACTTGAATCCTTTTAAATTTATTGAAACTTGTTTTATGGACCAGAATATTCCATGTGCACTTGAAAGGAAAGTGTATTCAGCTTTTGTTAAGTGGAGTGTTCTATAAATGTCAATTAGTTGACAGTGTTGTTTAAATCTTCTGTGTTTTTAACAGATTTCTGCCTACTTGTTTTATTAATTATTGATATAGGGGCATTGAAATATTTGAATATAATTGTGGATTTGTGTCTTTCTCCTTACAGTTCTATCAATCAGTTTTTACTTCATCATCTTAAAATCCAGTTATCAGGTACATAAATGTTTAGGACTGTTACTTTCTTTTGATGAATTGAGTTCTTTATCATTATGAAATGACTTTATCTTCATTAATATTCTTTGTTCTAGAATCTACATTGTCTGCCTATTAATTAAGATTCAGCTTTCTCTTGACTAGTGTTAGCATGGTATACATATTTTTCCAACTTTTAACTTTTAACCTATTTGTGTCTTTATGTTTAAAGTGCATTTCTTTTAGGCAGCATATAGTTGGGTTTTCTCAACTTAGGGAGTTTCCAGGCTCTGCCTGGGTTACCCCTTCCTGTGCCATGACAGAGAAACTCTTTAGGCAACAATGGGACTTATATTGTTTGCTTTTCACCGCTCAAGAGCAGGGCTTGGCTTGGTGTGAGGTGAGTACAGCCCCTACAGTGAAAATTTTAGATGATAAACACTCTTGGATACATAGTTTGAAAGTGGATTCCTCTTTACATTTTGGATCCCCTTTAAATTTTTTACCTCAGTCTTAAGAAGATACAGAGTTGTGCAAATACAGGGCTAGCAACTGAGAGTAAATGCCTCTTTTAATTTTGCACTTTAAGGCCTCACTCAATTTACCCTAGTCTCAGCACTGTCTTTCATTGCCTAACATCCGGCATCATGAAGACCATTATAAATATATATTTTGCCTGGATTTTTTATTATTTCAACTGGAAGGTTGAATACAGTTTCTGTTACTCCATCTTTTCTGGAAACAGAAGTCTGGACTTACTCTTTATGAGCCTTAAGAATCCTGGATATAGAGCTACCTGACTGAAATACGAATGTTTTCAGGCCTTGCAAAGAATTTAGCAAGATTGGTCTTCTGCAAACAAGCAATGAGCACCTACTCTATGCCATATTCAGGGCTAGGATCTGGGGTTAAAATCAAATAAGACAAGGCACCTACCTACCCGTATTCATAGCTGGCTTCCTTAGAAATATTACATAGGCCCTTTTATACCATGCATCACCTATGACATGGGCCAGGGAAGGCAGAGACCCAGAGAAAGTCAGACCTGGAACTGAGAGATCATCTTCACTAATTTCTATGCCCAGGGTAGTTCAGGGACTCACTTAAGTCACACAGTGGGTCAGTAGTAGATGATTGCTATATAGTCTGTTTTGAAGGGTATGAAGGAGGGACCCAATCCAAAATACCTTCCTTCACAGCCAGTCACCATGACTAAAATCCCACAGACACTTACTCATTAAGGTTGGAGACCATGTTTTATTCATGTTTCCATTTCTCAATGTTAGCTCAGAGCCTGCTATGTGGTAATCAATAGATATGAATGAATGAATGAATGAATGAATGAATGAATGAATAATGTTAAAATGATCAGCATGCCTCTAGGAGGTGACTTAGGTTGTTATCAGTTGGGGAAGTGTAGACTGTGATGAGCAGGCACACAGCTGGGACCTATGATAGGAAGGCAATGTGATACAGTAAGTACATGAGCCTCTAACTATACTAGACCTTGATCTGAGTTACTAGACCTATCCCAAAGTCAGTTTCCTCATCTGTTTGCCAGTAATCCTAATCCTATGTACCTTATGGAAGGATGTCAGGTTTCAATAGGATGAAATAGGTTAGGGGCCTGGGAATGACAGGTTTTATTAGCCTAGTGTCTGGGACAGCAGGTGGGGATGAGGCCTTGCAGACATCAGGAAGACTGCAGCTGCTCTGCTCATGCTGTGTATTTACAGAAGCTCAGATAGCACCACTATCATTATCCAAAAGCCCTCCCTGAGCTCAGCATTGCATGCAGATGTACCAGGCAGTGCACATAAATAAGCCTTGCAGACACAGCCCTGCTCTCTGGGGACTTACGTACAAGGCAGTTCCCCCGGGGAAAGACAGAATAAAAATGTGAAATCTGCCTCTGATCAGGTGACAGCCCACGCGCACATGTAGGGATGAAGGAAAGACCATTTCCCGAGTGAGGGGCTGGTCAGAGGTGTCAGGGTGGGAGTTCCTTGCTCAACCCGAGCACAGAGAGAAGGGGAGCCTGCTCTGCCTTGTCCCGGCTCTGTTCCACGGACTCCATTCCTGGGGCCGGGGCGGTCATCCAGCTCCAGGCCCATGTCTCTGGACAAATCTCACAGATGGAAGGTGTTGACTGAAATAATAGATGACTTTGGAGCCATGGTGTGGCTGAGCCACAGTCCCAGACTCTAATAGTCAGAGAAACCCGCCTGGTGATACAGTGATTTTCTGCCTTTATTCTGACCGTGGTCATAGGAAATGTAGTTTAGGACTTCACTTTCTCTATTTTCCCATCAAATGCATTACAGTGCATAGCTATATTTTTAAATTCAAATATTGTCATACATTTGAAATTTGGACCTAGTCTACTTCTCGAAAGTTCAGGTGGGAAAATCCAAGGATATTGCTATTTTCTTTTATCACATTAACCCAATTTTTCAATAAAAACATTTAATTATATTAAAATGTCAGACTTCCAGACTGTTAGAGCGAGAAAGGCCTTTAAAGACAAACAGGCCCGGTCTTCTAGTTGTACAGATGGGGAAACTGAGGCCTAGACAGGTGACTCGTTCAAGGTCTTGTAAGTCGCAGTGCAGTCCAGACTGGAAGCCAGGTTTTGTGCCTTCTTCTATGACATCACATTGCACTGAACCTTCTGAAAAAAACTCCTTGAGGGGCTTTAAGGACCTCATTGAGCCCCAGACGGTTTGGCTAAGTGGATAGAGTATCAGCCTGCGGACTGAAGGGTCCTGGGTTTGATTCTGGTCAAGGGCATGTACCTAGATTGCAGGCTTGATCCCTGGCCCTGGATTGACAAACCTGGATGGTAATCAATCGATGTGTCTCTCTCACATTGATGTTTCTCTGTCTGTCTCTCCACCTCCCTTCCACTTTCTCTGAAAATCAATGAAAACTATCCTTGGGTGAGGATTAACAAAAACACACACACACACACCTGACTGAGGTCTGTGATTTGTGATTCTACATTGGCTGAAGACAGAATCACAAATCCCAGAAACCAGGCCTGGGAAGTCCAGTACAACAGGAAGCTCCTTGAGGACAGGGTGCACTTTCTCATCCAGCCATCATGGCCTCCATGGATCTGTGGCAGAGCCTAAGCGCTCACCAAGAACTTGTTGGTTGTGAGTGATATAGGAGAGAGTGCATCTGAGTGAGGGGAGCCCTGCAACATTGGCTCAGGAGGAGTCAGGACAGTGTGGGATTAATAGCAAATACAAGTTAGATGACCTTGCATTTAAATGACAAATTTGTACAAACTGCTGTGTGGCCTTGGCAAGTCACTCAACCTCTCTGAGCCTCAATAAAATAACGATGATAAGATCTATTTCAGTGAGATGAGAGAAATAAATGATGATGTATAGAGAGAGACCATTGCCTGGTGCCTGCCTACAAGTAAACATTCAATAAATGGTAGCTGGTCTATCAGAATCTGTTTTGTTGTTTGTTTAAATTGGGAGAAATTACTTTCAGGCTTCCTCTACCATTTTCTTTCAATCTGGAAGTGTCTGTTTTCTTTACCTGCTCTTCTCTTTTCTCTTTGATGGGCTGGCTGATCAATTAGCGATCATGGCACACCTCCCCTTGTCCGAGCTTCTGCTAATTAAGAGGTGGTTGCTAAGAGATGCCGGGCACACTGGTGAGCAGTTCTGTGCTTCTCTCTCGTCCCCTTCATTCGTTCTCAGCCTCACTTCATCCCCACCACACTCACCTCTCTCTCATCTTCTATTATCAGGGTCTGAAAAGACTTGGAGAAATTGATAAACCTGGATGGCTACCCCTGACCAGAAAGTGGTTTCTAGGCCCCAGAGACCTGCCCGGGGACCGAAGGGGAATGGGGCCTGCCTGGGCCCCCTGGACAGCCTGGAGTGTATGGAGACACAGGAGATGGTGCTGGCAGAGGTAGCCATGCTGAGGAAGGCACAGGAATTCTTCCAGACCTGTGATGCCGAGGGCAAGGGCTTTATTGCCAGGAGGGATATGCAGGTAAGAGGGTCCTGTCCACATGGAAAGCCAAATGGCCTGGGTCTCCCTGTCTCAGGTTACAACTTGCCCCTTTGGAGGCACCATCCTTAACAGAAAAGAGGCCTTAAACTCGCCCTGGGAGGAGGCATCGGTCCAAGCTCTCTGGGTTCCCTTATTTTTCTGGTCTTTGCTTGCTGTCCTACTCGGGGGTTATTTCCCTTCCTGACTCAGTAACTCCCCGGGGTTGGGGAGAAGGTGATAGCACTATAAGGGACGTATGTCAGAGATGGTGAAGAACCTTCTGAAACAGGTGAAAAGGCACCAATTTGTTGCTTCACATCAAAGCTCTGCTGAAGTCCTTCCTGGGAGGTGCATGTGTGTCTGGGCAGCTCGCAGAGAAAGGCATTTCTGGAGCTCACCTTGTCTGTTCCTCTCTCTGAAACCCAACCACGCTTAACCCCTTCTGTAAGCATTTCCAGAGAGAGATAATGCAGATCCCCAGTGCACACATCTGCCAGTGTGGGGCTCAGCAAACGGTCCTTAAAGGGCCAGAGGATATATATATTCTAGGCTTTATGGGCAATGTGGTCTCTGTCCTGACTGCTCAGCTCTGCATGAGCCGTCATAGGCAATATGTAAATGAACGAGAGTGGCATTGTTCCAATGAAACTTTATTTATGGACACTGAAATTTGAATTTCAAATATTTTTCACGCATCACCAAAAGTTTTTTTAATGTTTTTTTCAACCATTTAAAAATGTAAAGGCCATTCTTAGCTGACTGATCATACAAAAGTGGGATATGTCTGATTTATAGCTAGGAAATGGTTTGCCCACCCCTGGTCTGGTTCTTCTTGGTGTCTCACTTAAGTCTCTTATGCTGCAGTCATGATTTCACCCTGATGTGAGTAAATAAAATTCAGGCTCCACTGGAGCTCTATGGAAGCATCTCTTTTCCATATCTTGTTGCCACTTGCTCTGTCAAGAGCATTTTTGGCAGCTATGCTATTAGAAGCAAGACCTGCAATGGCCAGGTTTTCTTTTTTTTTAAGTCTAGGTTTTCAGAATATACTAAAGTTGGACAATGAAACTAGACCTCATTAGTATCAATCCCATTGCTGCTCACTTGTGTGAGTCACAAGGCGTGGAGGCTAAGATGAGCAGGTCTTTCTCTCCTGGCCCAGCAGATGGTGTATTCTGGCTTCTCCCAGCACCCCATCCACCATCCAGTAGTTGTACAAATTGAGAGGAAAAGACCTGGGAAATAGAGCCAGCTAAGCCCACAGTGAGATCAGACTTGTGGGTTCAATTTCTTTCAGTAATTGACTCCCCAATAAATGTCTGTCACTGAAACTCATCCCCAAAGCCTCACTTCAGGTAGAAGGCCGGATTTGATGTATTTTGTGCAAACCAGAGACAAAACCCTGTCTGCGAACTTCACTCACAGGTCTGGTAGTGGTGCTTGGTGGTCATAGTTCCAATAGCGCCCTTAACTTCTGCTTATCCCTTCTAGAAACAGGGAAAAGGGAACTCACATTTATTGAGGGTCATTCTGGGTCACATGCACAGTGCACCTCACTGTGTAGATCCCAGTTAACCTGCATTGAAACCCGCTCTTCAATGAAAGGAGGCAGAGGCGTGGGGAATCTAAGCTGCCAAGTGGAAATCGTTAAAGAAATCATTTGTGTTTGACTTGGAATGAAGTCAGAAACATCGAGTGCAGAGACACCAACTCAGCTATATCCCTCCTTAGTCTTCCTCCCTCATTCCTCACTCCTGACCCAGGCGGGGCCGGGGGCGGGGGGTTGGGGGGGGATGGCATCCGCCAGCAGATGCATGTGCATTCATGGCACTTATTTCTACCAGCTCCTTAGTTTTTTGAAATTTCTGTGTAACTGTGGACAATGAAGCATTGAACATTCTTCATATTTTCAGACTAAGAGAGTGCTATCAAGAGAGAGAACAAAGCATGTCACCTAAGCACTTTCTCTGATGCTTCCACTGGTCACGTCTGGACAAAGACATGCTGGAAAGAGAGAAACAAAGGACAGTCGCCTCTCATAGTTGACCTCGGGCTATCTGTGTAAAGTCCACGTGCCCCGTGGTTCTCCTGGGCAGAACCTACAGATATCTGCCTGCTGCCTGTCACTCCCACATCATCACCCCTTTGGTTGGTGGCCAGCTCCATGTACCTGTCCAGCACCACCCTTCTCACCATCAGCTCCTAGCACAGCCTCATGGGAGCCGGAGGGAGAACAGTTCAAAGCGTTCACACACAAAAATTCAGCCACTAGGAAAGGCCCTTTAAAACTGAGAACGGCTCTCAAGGAAGGAGAGGCTGTGGGTTACGTGGGTTGGAGAACGTAGGGGCTGGAGGAGGCCGTGAAGAGGCAGAGTTGGAACAAAACCACAGAGAGCTCGCTGTCCTTTTGAAAAATGAATGGGAGAGTTAAGCTCCTTCCCCAGTGCTCTTGTTCCTTCTCCTGATTAACAAAAGCCCATGTGCAGAGTGTGAGGTGGACTTCCCAGTCATCTGAGAGGTGGGGGACACGGCCACCGTGGGCGGAGCCCCAGCAGGAGGCAGTCCGCCTGCCCTGAGGAGCAGGGAGCCCAGACCCAGACGGGAAGGAGCAGGGGCCAGGAGAAGCCTTTCTCCTTAGTGGTCCCTGGAGGGACTGAAGTGGCTGCACTGAGGGCAGGGGCTCCTTGTGAGGACATCCTGCTGCAGGGTCGAGAGGGTGGAGCCTGAGCTGTGGGAACAGCTTAGGCAGCCCTTGAGGGTCCTCAGCTCCACCCATAGGCCCTCAGACTCCACTCCCCTCCACAGGGAACCTCTCCGGGCTCCAAGGGATCACTCCAGGCAGAATGGGGGTACAGATTGCTTTTCAGGGTGGGGTCTGCACAGTCCCCTAGAGAAGCGAGGGCCCTAGAGGGCCAAGGGCCCAGGGTGAGAGCCAGTCCTGTCTCACAGGGACAGAGGGACATGAAAGGCCAAGCTGGAGAGGGCACGGCGGGACTCCTGCATCTGGGGGAGGAAGTGGCGTGCAGGGTGGGAGCAGTTCTCTCTGAAGAAACCTAGAGCCTCAAAAACTCTGTTTTCCTGATATTTTAGAGGAGTGAAATGGTTATCTACCTCCCAGCACTGCCTAGAACTCCTGGCTTAGCCAGACTGTTAAGAATCATGTAGGAATCGGCAGACCAAGCGAATCTGGCCCAGCAGCTGTTCTTGCAAGTGAAGTTGCATTGGAACACAGTGTGCTCACTCATTTACATAGTGTCCACAGCGGCTCTCACTCCCAAGGCAGAGCTGAGCAGTTTGTGCCCAAGACCGGAGGGCCTGCAAAGCCTAACTATGTACTACCTGGCCCTTTACAAAAAGGGTTAGCTGATGCCTGATTTAGGTTAACAAGAAGACTTTTAAAGATTTTTTTTTAATTGACCTGAGTGTTAATTCTGAATCTGCAACTTACTAGCAATGGGCGTTTGTATGTCTCGGCACCCTCTGGCCATGCTTCCTCCCCTGTGAACTATTGTAGCACCTCCCAGCATTAGAAGAGAACAAGTGAGCAGGAGGGCACTGAGCCCTGAGACCGAACCTGGTGTGTTTCTGGTGCACGGTGGGAGGGAGGGGGACTTGTACCCTGTGTCTTAACCCAGACCCAGTGTCCTCCACACCGTGATTTTTAAAAATTGTGATAAAATGTACATCACATAAAATTTACCATTTTAACAATTAAGTGTATAGTTCAGTGGTACAGATAGTTCAATATGTCCACTTTGTTGTGCAGTGCAGCCTTCACCACCATCCGTCTCCAGAACTCTTTTCATCTTGCAAAATAGAATCTCTGTGCCCATTAAACACTGAATCCCCCTCCTTTCCCCTCCCCCAGTTCCGGGTAACCACCATTCTACTTTCTGTCTATGAATTTTACTACCTCATCTAAGGGGAATTACACAGCATTTGCCCGTTTGTGACTGCTTAGCTCACTTAGCAAAATGTCTTCAAGGTTCATGCACATTGTAGCATGTGTCAGGGTATTCTTCCTTTTTAAGGCTGAATAATGTACCATGTACACACATGCTCATTTTGTTTCTCTGCTCACCGGTCAATGGACACTTGGGTCGCTTCATGTCTCTGAGTTTGAACAACAGTGCTATGAACATGGGTGTATAAATATCCTTTGAGTCCCTGCTTTAAATTATTTGGGGCACATGCTCAGAAGTACAATTACTGGATCACATAGTAATTTTTAGCTTTTTGAGGAACTGCCATACTGTTTTCCATGGTGGCTGCTCCATCAAGCTGTGATTTTAAGTGCAAGTCATCTGTCCTTCCTCAGAGATAAACAGAGGGCTTTTCTGCTGAAGAAGGCACCATCCATATGTACCTAGCTGGTGCTATTTTTGTTTGTGATCAGTGTGCGAGAGTGAAGGCAATTTTGCCTCTTATAGAAAATTTGGCAATATCTGCAGGCATTTTTGACTGAAACTACTGGAGAGGAAGGTGCTATTGGCATCTGCTGGGTAATGTCCAGGGATGTTGCTAAATATCCTATAATGAACAGGACAGCTTCTCCCCGCTGCCCCTCCTCCAACAAAGAACTCTCCACTCCAAGATGTCAATAGTGCAGAGGTTGAGAACCCCTATCTACACCAAGGAATCAGCCGAAACCAAGCACATCAAACCACAAAGCAGGAAAAAGGTGGACCCTGCCTCCAGGGCCTCACATTCTCACCCTGAAAACCTTTGGTTCCGGAAGCTCAGCTCTACCCCAGGGAAGACCTGGCTGGTGCTGGGACAGAGGTCTGGGCAGGATGCCGTGGAAGCCCCCAAAGGAGGGAGACTTTCATTCCGGCCCTAAGGATGGAGCTTGTCTGATTTTCTCTCTCATGAGTGTCCCCTGAGATATGGTTAAAGCAGCGCAAACATTTGCTTCAAGCTTCAAGGGGCATGCCATGGGCTGTGACCAGGAAGGTAGAGGGGTCAGGCTGAGTGCAGCAGAAGACAGTGCTTTCCCGGGCCCTGGAGCCCGAGGCCTCAATGCTGCTGCTGCAGGATTGCACAGTTTATAAGAACCTACAGTAGTGCTGCTCTGGAGTCTAGACCAACGTTGTGTCAATAGGAGTTCAGGATCCCTGTGATCACTCTTAGCCACTCATTTATTCAACAAATATCTAAATACTCCATGTGTGTCAGCACGGGGCTGGATCCTGGGGTCACAGTAGCGAGGAAAAGTGAATGGGATTCCTGTTCTCAGAGCTTCGAGTCCCCTGAAGGAGCAGACATTCACCAAGATATCACATCTACAGCATGTAAAATACAAGCCCAGGTGAGACCTGTGAGTGAGAGAATGGGTTTGGGGAGTCTGTGTGTACTGGCTGAACCTGGGGCCACAGAGCTTCCTGAGCAAGAGAGGCCAGAGCTGAGAGGGAAGCAGCAATTCAGAGTTTCTTAAAGGTGTGAAGGGGGGGGGGTGGGCAGCGTTTACAGGAGTCACAGATTCTGAGGAGCAGGGCCCGCCCTGGGCCAGGGAATAGGGTGCGTTGATGTCCTTCCATGTCTCCTCCCTGCTGCCGGCCTGCCAGGGTGGGGGTGGGTGGGAGTGAAGCAGGGGCTCTTTGAGGCTGTGCCTGGTGGTGCTGGCCAAATAGATGGTGGTGGTCGGTGGGCAGGTGTGGGATGGTAAGCAGACAGGGAGTGAGAGAATGATTAACCAGAGGACCCTTGGACTGTAGCAGGAGCCGGGATGGGAAACTGGGTCTTCCCCCCAGCGCTGGTCTCTGCTGTGACCTCAGAGTCTCACGGTTATTTACAGAGAGGAAGGAGTAATCCTGACCAGACACAGCACACTAGGTACCCAGGGGACAAGACCAGAATAAGCTGCAGGCCTTGAGAGGAAAGACAAATAAGAGAGAATTATAGTTACTAAGACGAAAGGATTTTTCAGGTAAAAGGGGTTATGAACTCTGGCATGGTGCGGCTTGCGGAGAAAGCTGAAGAAGCACTCAGTGCGAATTTGCCAGGATATGAAGAGTGGGAATTACTTGGAGGATATAATATTGCTCTCTCATCTTCACTGACAGCAGGAAGAGGACACTGGGTTTGAGATGTGGACAGAGGATTGGGATTAGACAATGGGAAGGATTTGTGGTGGGAGGCGTTAGATGCAGGAATAGTGCCTAAGGTGGGGTATGACATAGCTCCTCTTGGCTCTTCCTAACAAGAGAAAAGCTACCACGTGTGGTGGTTTGGGTGAAAGCCAAGCTGAGGACCCCACCGACCTCTGCAGTTTCCTTCCAGCCCTTTTCTGGCGTCAGCTCTGTGTGTGCTGTCCCATTTCACACCAGGTCCAGCAACCCTAGGCTGACAGTGGGGAGGGAGAAGGGTGTTTCCAAAGAAAGGGCTGGAATCTAGATGGGCTTTTCCCCCACTTCAGTGTGATGCTTTTTGTTTCAGCGGAGCTAATAAACGTTCTGCTTGCAAAACTGATTCCTCACTCCCCATTCTCTTCCTGCGGCGTTTGGGACGGCTGGTTTATGGCTGCTGGTAAACCAGAGACTCTGCTGTATGCTAAGCAGATGCACTTCTAGAATTTTTGCACACACCCTCACTCCCCTTCCTTAAGACAAAAACTCATTCATGTTTAATTTAATTCTTCTAAATGGCTTTCACATCATTCTGTCTTCCCACTTTGTAATGCATTATAGTCTCCCTAATGCACGTACCTGCCAAATTAAACTTTATGGCATATCAGCTAGCAGATTGCCACTGGATCAAGCCAAGTATTCTTGCATGTTATGTTATGGGCTTTACACCTGCCAGGTTTTTTTTTTTTTTGTCTGGATGAGTATATATTCCCTTCCGGCGGCCCTGTGTTCATTACATTCAGCTGTCAGTCACTTTCACAGGAATTCTGTGCACTTGTCCTTTGGCTAACTGGGAGGGGGGATATATAATGAACTCCTTGGGGAGCCCTCATTTGGAGACTTAGATTATTAGGGTATAAGAGGACATTTGTTTCCACTATGCAAATTAGCCTTGGCTTGGGCCACTGCACACCAGGCCACGCTGCTCGTCATCCCATCAGTTGGTCCTTTCTGTTCTGGTCTCAGCCCAGGACTCAGGTCAGCGTTTATTTATGACCTCACACACCATCTTGCCCAGGTTCCTTTAAAACACAAATGTTCTCTAGAATTGTTACCTTAAGTCCGCAGCAGTTAACATCCTGTCAGGAATTAGTTGAGAGCCAGCAGGAGCAAGAGTGGAGCATAAACCGGTGTGAGGGGTACAGGTCACTCAGAGGGAAGAAGGGGCTAATCCAGTCCCCACTCGGAGCTGAAGAACCAATGTGTGTCCCAGAGAACTTATAGATGTGGTGCTGGGGCCCTGAGACATGAGTGGCCTTCATCACAGAAAGCTCTGCGAGTGTGACCCACACCCGCGTCTCAGTAGGGAGGTAGCATGGCTGAGGAAAAGGGGCTCAGGCAGAGCGGGAAAAACTGGGCACAAAACTGCTTCTGTCACTCACTCACTGAGTGGCCTTGTTTGGTCAGAATCAATCTCTCTCTCTCTCCCCCCACCAGGCACTATGCCATATTCCTTACATTTGTTAGCTCATTTAACTTGACAGCCTCACATTGTGTGGGTATCAGGATTCAGTCCTGTATAGTTTTCGGTACAGTTGGTCCATTACAGCTGTGAGGAGCACCAGCTTTGGAGTCAGACCTGGACTTGACACCTGGCAACGTCATTCCGTGAGGTCCGCAAGGTTGGCGACCGCTGGTTTAAGGAAACCTTTGGAGCAGCGGTGGCCAAATGGTGGTCTGCAGACCACTGGTGGTCTGTGAGGTTCAAAAGGTTGGCGGCCGCTGGGCTAGGCGACCATGGGACAGGTCATTGAACTTCACACCTCTTCTATAAAATGGAGATAATAACACCCACCTCCAAGGGTTGTCGTGAGAATTCAATGCAAAGATATATTAACATATAAGGTATATAAATATATTGATAAATATATACATGTTTAAATACTTATAACTCACTTAGAAAATTGCCTAGCACTTTGGTAGGCACCCAATAACTGGTTGACATTCTACTATTCCAAGGAGGAGAAGGATGGTGAAGTGGTCTTCAGACGCTCACTCCGGCTTCTGTAGGACAGGGCCCCGATGGGCCTTTTTTGGCAGGAGGCCCCAGGCCACCATCCATGATCATGAATGCTAACCAGTGCGGTCTGGGTTGTTTTCAGAGGCTCCATAAAGAGTTGCCCCTCAGCCTGGAGGACTTGGAGGATGTATTTGATGCCCTGGATGCTGATGGCAACGGCTTTCTGACTCTAGAGGAGTTCACCACTGGGTTTAGTAAGTTCTGATGGATGTGGGGGCCCCATTGTTTGGGTCTCCCTAACCCTACAGAAAGTGCACCCTGCCCACCAGATCCCAGGGTCCTGGGAGCACAAGCTTTTCTGCCCTCCTGACATTTTCAGGCTCTGGATTTTGTGGCTCTTTCATACGTCTTCCTTGGCTGCTCACACCACTGCTCTCTCAGTGCTTACCACACTGTCATTGCCAAGTCCCCTGCCACCAGGAATGGCAAGTGGAATCCAGAGAAGCTCTGGCAGAAGGCCTGGCATGAAAGGGGGAGCCTCTCATTTCTGCCTTGGTACTAGAGGACGATAAAGGGGGATGACTCAGACTCCAGCTGAGTCTCAGGGTTTAGGACTTCCTAGAGGGTTTGAATAGGACAGTCATTCCAGGTTAACCAGCAGATCAGAGATCCATGAAGAAGACAAGAAAACCAGCTATGCCATCACATTAGACTGATCTGATATTGATTAGAGCAGATATTGATCAGATAAATCAGCAGGTACATTTCACTGCACATGTGGCTCCCACAAAGTGCTGTATAGTTTACTGTGAAGTATCTGAGGCCTTTCCTGACCTTCAGGAGCTTGCAATGGTCTTAGGAAGATAAGACAGATTGCTGTATTCCTAGACCTTATGAGAATGGGAAGAGTGCACCTGAAGCTATACAGTAATTTGCGAACGTGAAGTATAGCGATGCTGCTGGTAGGTCCAAGTAGATGATAACATGGAGCATGGGCGGTTGGGTCACTGGGGTGTGACGGAGAGAAAGGTCTTGTTGTTTAGAGAAGAAATCAATGAAGAGATGAGTTCTAAGCCAGACTCTAAAGGACTGAGAACCACCAAGGTGCCAGAGTACCTGCCATGCATTCTGCCTTTCCCAGGTTCTATTCTAGCATCTCTGGCAGAGTCTCTTGGGAGTTGGAAAGACACAAAATCCAGAATATGTTGTCATAGGATATTTGCTATAGGTGGTTTCCCTTTTTCTTCTCTCAGATGAACCTCAAATGATTCTTGGCAACTGAGAAAGGGAAGGTCTTCTTGGGTGAGCATTGCCTGATTCAGACCCTTGTACCATGCATCCCCCAGGTCATTTCTTCTTCAGCCAGAGCAAGCCAAGTCAGGGAGATGCAGGTGAACAGGTGGCCCCGCTCCAGGAGGAGAAGGTGTATCAGTCCAGAGCGGAGGAGGATCTGGGTGACCTGGATGAAGATGAGGAAGCCCAGTTCCAGATGCTGATGGACAAACTTGGAGTCCAAAATGTTTTGGAAGAGTAAGTGGCGACAGGGACTTGGGGGAGGGAACCCAGCCTAGGAGCAACCTCTGTATCTGCTTCATTCAACCATTAATGTTTGTGAAGCCCCAGAGCCAGGCCCAGGCTCCGTGCTGCCAGCTTCAAGACTTGCCCCATACAGCCTGCCCTTGCAATGTCCTGTTTGTGTGTCATGGTGTGGGGCCCTATCTCTGCTTTTCCCACTTTTTTCATGGGAATCAACTATCTCCCTACTCTCCCACTCTCTGCATTTCCTGCTATTCATTACCAGCACAGTCTGAGGCTCAGTGAGGAGCGCTCTCACATTAGAGGGCTGTTCCAGGCCTTGTGGTTTTCTCTGCAGTTTGCCTAAGGCTTCACCGTCAGCTCACCAGCCTTGCCACCTTCATTGGGGCCAACCTAGGCTCTCTGGGCTGCGGTGCATCCCAGCCACCCCCTATGGTAGGCTCCTGGCAAAGGCGCCCTTTGTGGAAGTGTCTGCACATTGCATCCCAAGCCAAACCAAACCTGTCAGGAAGCCGAGGCAGGAAATTAACCAGGTTTTACCAGCCCACCACTTGGATAATCAGTAGCTCAGCTAGAAATTTTAGATGGAACTTCAAACAAAACATAATACTCCATTTTTCTATTTTTTGCAAAAAGTGTTTTGGAAGAAAGACATAAGAATCTGAGCCCTGACATTTAAAATGGAATTAAAAAATGATATAAAATAAAATAAAGTGATGGCATCACTAATGGAAACCATACAGTGACCTGAAAAACATTTCTGTTGCCTTTTGCCTTTTCATTTTTGAGTCTATAGGTCTTGGGTTGGGTGTGTGTTTCATGAAGGGTGGGAGTGGCCTAATGATTGGAGCTGATGTGTCCTGAGCTTGGGAAGAAGAGACTGTGATAAAGAGGAAGCAGGAGAGAAGGAGTCTGCAGCAACATGCAGGCCAAAGAAAGTGTCTGTTGCTATGTGAATTTTCAAGAAATGACAGGCTGTGCAAATGATTTGATTGGCTGTGTCTGAGTTGAGAAAAGCTGGGAAAACCTGTGCCAGGCAAGGAAAGGACAGGTGGAGGGGCTAGGAGAGAGCCTGTGGGAGGCTCTGGCCAGGAAATGAAATGACAAAGTGGCAGCGGCAGCAGCTCTGCTCAGGCCTGGAGGGCTGGTGCAGGCACAGATCTGCAGAACTGGAGTGGGTTAGGCAGGCGTGCTGGGGGCGCAGGTATGTGTGAAGCTCCTTAGTCAGACACCTGACTCAGCTTCTCCAGGGACAAGAGGCCAGAGCACAGTGACCACTGCCAGTGGCTACGTGAAGCCTCCTCCTAGAGGAGGGGGAAGGAGAGGGCAGTGTGGCGATCCAAGGGACTGTAATGCAGAGAGGTGCCTCTCTACCCCCATCACTTCCGGAACAGCCACCTTCTTGGCAGGGCCCGCAAATCAGAGTTCACCAGATGTCACCAGATGTCTGACTAATGTCAGAGGCAGAAATGAGTCACATGAGATTTCTGGAGAAGAGAAGGCTCTGGGGAAGGTTTCAAGAGTGGCCTACAAAAATTGATACATAGAAGATGGTGACCAGCAATTTCCATCCTCATTGGGGTTGAACAAGAAGGAAGAGGGCTTAACTTTCAGCAGGAGGGCTGTGACTGTGGGACTCCAGATAAGGAAATAGAGGAGGCTATGAAGACTAAGATTTCAAGCTCCAAGATGGTTTGTGTGTTGTCCTGGAAGCAGGAAGATGGACAGGTTGACCACCCAACTCCCTTCTAGCTCCATATGCCTATATCTTTCCAGAGGAGAACCCTGGGTGTAGAATGGACAGCTGGAGTCCCACCTTTTTTTGATAGTTTGATTTGTTGAGTGATTTTGTTGTTTATGTGCCTGGCTTATTATTATTATTATTATTATTATTATTATTATTATTATTATTTTACTAAGGGTTTAAAGACTTGTCTCTTCTCTAGAAATCTGGGGGAGTTGATGTGGCCATTAATAAGCGGTTCAAGAGCTTTGGAAAAGGGTCAAATGGGTCTGCAAATCTCACTGGAGGTTCAAGCCCAATTGGTGGTTCTGTCAGGCCCCATTAAGAACTTGACAGATGTGAAAAGACCAATCTAGGCTAGTAAGATGGATCTTTTTATAGTGCAGTTATTCATGAGGAAAGCAACCTGTCATAGTGACAGGAGGCCATTGTGGCATCACCCTGAGACCTTTTTTTTTAAAAAAAATATATATATATATTTTATTGATTTTTTACAGAGAAGAAGGGAGAAGGATAAAGAGTTAGAAATATCGATGAGAGAGAAACATCAATCAGCTGCCTCCTGCACACCTCCTACTGGGGATGTGCCCACAACCAAGGTACATGCCCTTGACCGGAATCGAACCTGGGACCCTTAAGTCCTCAGGCCGACGCTCTATCCACTGAGCCAAACCGGTTAGGGCAACCCTGAGACCTTTTAGCTCTGAAACTTTTTTGCCCCATCCATTGTGCCCACATAATAAAGTAGATAGCCACAACATGTTCTGTGTGGGGAGAATGGAGCTCATTATGGGAAATAAGGAAGCTCCTTACCTCTCCTTCATTTGTTTCTCAGATTCCTTCATGCCACCCAGTTCAATGCTAGTTTTTCAACAGATAATAAATACTTGTTAGGTGGATGGGTGGATGGGTGGGTGGATAAATGGATGGATGGGTGGGTGGCTTAATGAGTGGGTGAGTGAGCAGATAGATGGATGGATGGGTAAATAGATGGACAGATGGGTGAGTGGACAGGTGGTCTAGATGAGTTGGTGAATGCTTGAATGAGATGGAGCAAGGGAAGGAAGGAGGGAGGGAGGGATAATTGGACAGATGATACGATAACTAACCAGAGGTAGATCTATTTCTCAGTTGGCCTCTTCTCATAGAGTAATATCTATATTCCAGGCACATTAGTAACATGATACTATCAAATACCACTTCTGAGGAAAGTTTCTCAAATATGGTGCTTGTGATATAAGCACAAAGGATTTTATTCATTATCATGAGGGTTTCTGGTCATAGCTACCCTCATATCATAGTGGTTGTAGAATTTAATGGAGTGCAAATCAGATTACTGCCTGGCTCAGTGGGACCATTGGCTGTAGATTACTGAGTTTCTCCAGAGAAGGGAGCAGGGTCCATGGTGTACACCACCTCCCTATTCCTCCCTGCTGGTCAGCATGACCCTAGGTGTCTCTGCTGCTGTGCATGCACATATGAATGTGCCCTGTGGGCCTGTTTTTGTGTGTGTGTGTGTGTGTGTGTGTTTGTGTGTGTTTTTTTGGGGGGCGGTTTCTGGCCATGTCCCTCTATGTCTTTGTCTCTCTGCCTGCTCTTTCCCTCCTGACTTTGTCTTTCCATGTGGTGCACACGTCTTTCAGACTTGCCACTTCCCCTCCTTTCACCTGTCAGTCATTCCTGCTGCCACCAGGCCCCAGTGGGGTGTTGCCTATTCTCTTCCTTTTCCCGCAGTGACAATTGCTTCTGCCATCCATCAAATGGCATGTCTCTCCCTCTCAGCTGTGAGGACCTTCCTTCTTAGGGTGACAAGCTCTCTCCTGTAGTTCCACAGCCTTTGTCCTCACATGCACCAGACTCCTGTCCTTCTTTCTTCTTCTGGGCATCTGAGATGTACCCAGAATGCAGCTGTGCATGCTCAGCACCACCAGCCCATAGAGAAAGACAGGGGAGTGGAAGCAGCCAGTGAGGCAGATAAGGAGGTCAACACAGAAGCCAGACAGCCCGAGTGTGCCTCCCAGCTCCATCCTTTACCAGCTGAGTGGTCTGAGACAGCTCTTCCACCTCTCCTCTCCCCATCTGTCACCTCATCTCTAAATGGGTGATGGCAGCACCTGCCACAGAGGTTGCTATGAGATAAAATGAGCTAATATGCACACAGCAAGCACTCGGTAAAGGTTAGCCACTGTCGTCATTATGATGACGATGCTGTTTCTGGCTGCCTGTTTCACAGCTGGGGACTTCTGTGTTCCCTTAAAGCATCAGTTCTCAACCTTCCTAATGCCGCGACCCTTTAATACAGTTCCTCATGTTGTGGTGACCCCCAACCATAAAATTATTTTCGTTGCTACTTCATAACTGTAATTTTGCTACTGTTATGAATTGTAATGTAAATATCTGATATGCAGGATGCATTTTCATTGTTACAAATTGAACATAATTAAAGCATAGTGATTAATCACAAAAACAATATGTAATTATGTGTTTTCCAATGGTCTTAGGCAACCCCTGTGAAAGGGTCGTTCAACCCCCAAAAGGGTCTCGACCCACAGGCTGGCGACCCACAGGTTGAGAACCGCTGCCTTAAAGCCTCATTTCCACACTCTTACATTAACGTTCCTTTCCTCTTGCAGTGAAAGTGATGTCAAGCAACTCTGGCTGCAGCTGAAGAAGGATGAGCCTCACTTACTGTCCAACTTCGAGGATTTCCTGACCAGAATCTTCTCGCAGCTCCAAGAAGCCCACGAGGAGAAGAACGAACTGGAGTGTGCCCTGAGAAAGTGGGTGCCCTCAGCTGCTCTCTGTCCATCTGTGTGAAAAACAGGAATGCAAATGGTGCTTTCTCTTATATTCTGTAAGAGTGGGAGCCAGAGTGGGAGGCCTCATTGCCGTCATAATGTGTGTGTGTTTGTATCTATATCTATATCTATCTATATCTATCTATATCTATATCTATATCTATATCTATATCTATATCTATATCTATATCTATATCTATATATCTATATCTATATCTATCTATAAGCCCTTGCTCACATTTGTTAGGCTCTTACCATATGCTAGGTGCTATTCTAAATGCTTTATATGCACTAGCTCATTTAGATTTATTTTATTTTACTTTTTAATTAATTTATTTTTTAATTCTCACCCAAGGATATGTGTGTTTTTAAAATTTATTTTAGAAAGAGAGAAGAAGAGAGAGAGAAGAAGAGAGAGAGAAGAAGAGAGAGAGAGAGAGAGAGAGGGAAACATGAATAGTTGCTGCCCATATGCGCCCCAACTGGGGAATGAACCCATAGCCTTTTGGTGCACAGGATGATGCTCCAACCAACTGAGTCACCCGGTGAGGGCTCATTTGGGTTTATTTTTATTTACATCACAGATGAAGAACTCAAGGGACTGAAAGGTTAAGTAACAAGCCCCAGAATACACATCTTGTAAGTGGCAGAGCTGGGGTTCAGAGGGAGACAGCCTGGCACTGAGACTAGTTGGAAAACCACTCTACCTACTCTGGACAGGAAGCCTCCAACGTACTGAACCTACCCTCCCAACTCTGGACTGGCCCTTGGTTCACTGAATTCCCCCTTCTGATCACACTCTGCCATCATAGCTCGTGTCTCTCCTCCTGCCCTCTTTGCCCTCAGGGCCTCTCCAGGAAACTAGCAATTTCTAGGATTCCTGGAGGAGGCAGGACCAGGCCAGTGAACACCAACACCTGAAGAGGCTGCTTAGGAGTCAAATGAAATTCAGCCAGGCACCTGTTGGCCACAGATGCAGGACCAACCTATTCACCTGTAGTAAGGGAATGAGTGTGCCATTTGGATGCTGTGCTTGTACGCAGCCATTGCATGTATATTACAGCAGTGAGCTCGTGTGCGGTGAAACTACAGACGATGCATAATCCTGAATGTGCAGCCAAAATGCATGGCTGCATTTGGGTAGCGCTCAGAAGCATGCAGAGGTGGCCCTCCCCCATGCCTCAGCCACAGACTCATCCCCACCTGGAGACCCGCCTATATTCCATAGGAATCCTCAGCAATTCCAACACAGACCACACCCCCAACCATGCAGATACTTCCCCACAAGCTTCTTGGTGCCCAGCACAGCCTCCTGAGGGCAGTGTTTCAGAGTCTGTGTGGACATGGCTTTAGTGAAAGCTCGCAAGCCCCTAATTAAAAGAGATCGCCTTGTGTCTTACTGTCCAGGTCAGCTGCCATATATTACCCGAGCTCTGTGCCCCCGCCCCTCACATTAGCTCTAAAGATAACTTGTTGAGGTCCACTGGTACACATAGGAACTTTAGGACCCTGAGTTATGAGAAAGTTGTGACCAACTAGTGTTGGGGGGACCTGGTTTGACTGAGCAATGTCATGAGCCTTCTGGGGAGAGGCCCCCAAGGCTCAGAGAAAGGAGGGTTGAGGATACATTTCCATATAGTCTGTAGCTGATTAACCCATGAACCAGACAGATCTGAGTTTGAACGTTGGCTCTGGCACTTACTAGCTGTGTGAGTTAGGCAAGTTACTTAAACTCTCCGAATCTCAGCCTCCTTATCTAGAAAACTGAAGGCCCAGTGCACAGATTCGTGCACTGGTGGGGTCCCTTGGCCTGGCCTGCACCCTCTCGCAATCTGGGACCCCTCAGGGGATGTCGGAGAGCCGGTTTTGGCCTGATACCTGCAGGCCAGGCCGAGGGACCCCACCAGTGTACGAATCTGTGCACCAGACCTCTAGTATGCATATAAGATCTTTGGTTAATCTCTTCGTGCCCTCCCCTCTACCCACTACCCTCTGAGATTAAACAGTCTGTTCCATGTTTCCATGCCTGTGCGTTGAGCATTAGCCCCCTGGTGGTCAGTGTGCATCATAGCTACAGGTTGAATGGACAAACAGTCTAACAGTTGCTTAGGCTTTTACATATATACTAGAGGCCTGGTCCATGAAATTCATGCACGAGAGCTGGGGGAGGGGCCCTCAGCCTGGCCTGCACCCTCTCCAATCCGGGACCCCTTGGGGCTGCTGGCTCCTAACTGCTCATCTGCCTGCCAGCCTGATCCTCCTAACTGCTCTCCCCTGCCTGCCTGATCGCCTCTAACTGTCTCTGCCTTAGCCCTGCCACCATGGCTTTGTCCGGAAGGTCGTCCAGAAGATGTTCAGTCTAATTAGCATATTACCCTTTTATTAGTATAGATGCCACTTTGTCCTAAAAATGTAGGTTGTTAGCAGGTTTTCCTATCATGGAAGGGGAGCCTGCAGTAGCATCCTGGGTTCTGACCAGGGCTTATGCACTCGTGCTGTATATCAGCAGATGAGATTCCTAGAAGAAGACTCTTGGATGTACCTTGAACATTTCTATCGATTTTGCCAAATCGTCCTCCAAAAGTGTTGAACCACTTTAAACTCCCACCAGCAACCATGCATGTGCCCTCTGTCCTACTTTGATGCCAATATCATTGATTTCCCCCTAGAAGCTTCCCTCCCCTCAGCCAGGACTGCTTGGCACTTGAGCCAACTTCACTGTTCAGCCCAGGACTTGATTTCCTGAGATAGAATTATGGAGGAGGAAAAATAGTTTTCCTCTACCCTTATGAGTTCTTAGCGGAGGCGCCCTTGTAATGAAAGACAGAGTACCAAGAGAAAAACAAAAGTTCATTAACATATGTACCTAGTGTATATGTGGGAGATCCCAGGTAAAAATGAATAACTCCCCAAGGTGGCTTAGAATCTAGATTTAAATACCTTCTTCCTAAGGAGAGGGGACGGGAGATGTAGGCCTCTTAGAGGAGAGTACATGATTTTTAAGAAACATAAATGGGGGTGGGGGGAGATAGTTTGTAACAAACTTTGGGTGTGATGTGAACTTCTAGTCTCCTGTCCTGTGACTGGAGTCAGTCTTCACTGGCTGATGGCACTTTCCCCATCGAGGGGACCTTTTGGGGGGGTCCGATTTTAGGCAGATCAGGAGACTTCAGTGAAAGCCTCTCCTTGCATTTGCTGTTTTTCAAGCATCTGCAGCTCAAGGTCATCAATATAACAATACGGCATATGTTGGGGTGGCCTGTTCTCTGACCTTCAGAATAAACCCAACAATAGCTTGTTTCCTCTTAGATGATTTGCCACAGTAGCATTATTCCCTGGAGACAGTATTCTGACCAGACCTTCCTAGGAGTGGTCATAACATACCCTGTGCTTGTAGAAAGGTGTGGGCCATATCACTAAATAAATCAGGGTCAGTTTTCTCATCTTGTGGAAAGGGAGATAAGGTTATGATAGTTTATCTCCCTTTTCACAGGTTTCCTGCAGGTTTGTGTCTCTGCTGCAGTCCCAGTGGCTCTGGGGCTTGGGGCTGCTGGGTGCTGGGTCCCCCTGCAGGCTTGTGTCTCTGCTCCTCCGGCCCCAGCACCACTGCGGCTGTGGGGCTTGGAGCTGCTGGGTGCCAGGCCCCCTTGAAGGCTTGTGTCTCTGCTCCTCCACCCCCACAGCAGGTGGCGACCAAGCAGGCCCACAGGCCCTCCGACATTCTGCCCCAGCCGCCGCCATCTTTGTCAAGGAGTGACAGCAATTTGCATATTCCCTTCTATAGGTTGTGGGCGCAGCCATCTTTGTTGCAGAGTGATGGCTAATTTGCATATTACTCTTTTATTGGATAGGACTAGAGGCCCAGTGCACAAAAATTTGTGCACTTGGCTGGGGGGGGGCCAAGCCTGGATGAGGGGATGATTGCTGTTTGCAGCTGGTCACACACCCTTCAGGGTGGGGGTCCCCACTGGGATGCCTGGCCAGTCTGGGTGAGGGGCTGAGGGCTGTTTTCAAGGTGGTGGGTGACTGAAGCTCCCAACCGCTCCTTTTTTTCTTTTTCTTTTTTATTCTGGGCCAGCTTTAGCTCTGAGGCTTGGCTCCAGCTCTGAGGCCTCTGCTGCTGAAAGCAGGTATCTGGTTTGTTTGGGTTCTATAATTGAAACACTGTTTCAACTCCAGCTCTGAGATCCCGGCTCGCTGAAAGCAGGTTTCTGGGGTTTTGTTTAGCTCCTATATTTGTAAGAATGTTTCAAACTGCAAGCTCAGAGGCCGGCAAAGCAGGCAGGGAACGTTAGAGTCCTCCGTCACTGAAGCAAGCAAGCCTCATGTTGGTTTCAAGCTGCCTGGCTGCCGGCCACCATCTTGGTTGGCAGTTAATTTGCATATTGCCCTGATTAGCCAATGGGAAGGGTAGCGGATGTACGGCTAATTACCATGTTTCTCTTTTATTAGATAGGACTAGAGGCCCAGTGCATGAAATTTGTGCACTGGGGGTGAGGGGTTGCTCAGCCCAGCCTGCCCCCTCTCACAGTCTGGGAGCCCTCAGGGGATGTCCTACTGATGGCTTAGGCCCCGTGGGGGAGCGGGCCTAAGCCGCAGTCTGGCCACGGAGGCTCAGAACAGGCGCCCTGTGTGTGTGTGTGTGTGTGTCCACTGGGGGCCTGCCCCCAGCCACGTCGGAGGCTCGGAGCAGGCACCCTGTGTATGTATGTCTGCTGGGGGCCTGCCTTCAGCTGTACCATGGAGGCTTGGAGCAGGTGCTCTCTGTGTTGATCTCTCAGGCTCTTGGCCACACCCAGCCCCTCCTTCTGAGCTGGTCATGACCATTATGGAGTCCTGACCTCATTTGCATAATATATATTATTTGCATATATGTGCATATTTGTACATATTATGCAAATGAGGCCAGGGCTCCATATATATAATTTAGCATTTTAGCAGGATGTCCAGGTGCTTTGGACATGGGTTTGAGAAGTGGGAGG